CCCCAAAACCCCAAAACCCCTTGCTCTGTATTTTATCTAAATAAAGGGAGAACTTAAATAGAAATTTTATTACAGTCTAATCATTAATCTAGTATTTTAGAGTGCAGACAATAATCAAAAATATAATGTATATAGGATAAATTCTTTTTCTTGGTCTATGGATCTTCTCTCTCTTAATTTTGGAAACCGATCAGCAGGTATTAGCTTCAAACGATTTCATTAGTCGAAGTATTCTTGATTTAATAGACAATAAAATCCATAGTTAAATAAATTGCACCCTAAGAGGAGATTTCTTGATTTTTGTCTATTGTGGTAAAATGTAAAACTCCTATATTGTCGATGGAGAGTCTCTAACGAAACCTAATAACAATAATTCTTGGAAAATATATTTTATGAATCCAATTTAGGTAGGATCTTCAATTAAAGATATTTACTCTTTCAAAGGAAGCTTGAATATTCTAAGTTCTAATTTTGAAAGCTACTATCAGCAATAAAATAGCTTTCATTATGATGGAATCAACCTCAATTAATATAACTAGGAATTCTAAAATTCTTCACAGGCTTTTTAATTTAGAGTTTATTTCGATAGCAAGCTATAGGTAAACTACTATTTAAACAATCAAAATAATTAGCAAACTATTTAAACTAAAGTTTTAGAAAATTCTACTGATGGGACTTATTACATAGCAAAGTTGATTCTAAAGGTAACATCTACTTTGCAATAATAAATTGAGATATCTAGAAGTCTTTAAAATGAATACACAATGTTTTTAGCAACAGAACAAACTAAAGAAGTAGTACAGCTTCAACAATTTCGTACATCTTCAGTCACATTAGGTATACTATAGATGAAAAATGAGATAAAAATTTAAAGTATGTGCAAATCTAAACTAATGGCTTCGCTTTACACGATAGTAGTTATTTGTGAATCATTGAGTAAAATATAAATCTATAGAAAGAATGATTTGTCCCTAATCAAAGAGATAGTACTTCCACCAAATTCTTCTTTTGTGACCAACTAGATCAGTGATAATCAGAATGAAGCAGGAGCTTTTCTCATTTCAAGAAATTAACATATAATGGTTTTCTATTAAGTGAAAATTCCATTAATTGATCCACAGATAAATACCTAAAATTAAAACAAGCCTTCTATCAAAATAATTTACCAAGTTTATATGCTAGACATTATTTTTAACAACGATATGAGCATTATGAATCATAATCTAGAGAAACCTGAATTGATTTACTCCTCTGAGGCTAATTTCTAGATGAACAAGATCTATGATAACTTTATTATCCGTTAGGATCAGAATGATTCTCTAACATTTTATCAGCATCAAGTTTGCTACTATGATTAGTATATGCTTAAAAAATAATGTTTATAATGTCCTCCTAAGAGTTACTCTTTGAGTTTTAAGGATGAAACATGCTATTTTTGTGTTGCAATCAATACCTATTACTTGCTCCCTGCATAGAAAACTAGACTCATTTTTCTGTGTGATAATTATATTAAACATATGTCAGATAGGCACAACTTCTATCTAGATTCCTTTGATGATCAATTACTCATTCCAATCAATTCAGAAAACTAGACTAATTTTACAGTCATTAATTAAGAGGGATTAAAGATAGATGGATGGGAGATAGCTTTAATAATCACAGGGTGCTTGATAACTTTGATTATCTCAACATTTATGCTCATTCTTGTCCTTAAGAAAAAAAGAAATCCAAATACTGTGTAAATAATGGCTAGTAGTTAAAGTATAATAGAACCTCCTTAATAAGAAAATTTAAATCCTGAAGAGCTTGTCAAAACAAAGATTGAATAGATTGAAAAGCTATCGAATGAAAAGCTTTATAAGGACATTAATGAAATAGATAAGACTCAAAAGCATTCTTGTGTTATCTGTTTAGAAGAATTTAAAGACTAAAATTTAGTCAGGACTACTTAGTGTCTGCATTTATTTCATTCAAAATGCTTTCATAAATGGATTTCTAGTTAGTTAAGAGGGTAATCTCGTCAAAATTAAGATTTGCTGTCATATTGTCCAACCTGCAAGCATAATCTCCTCGAGCAGATTGATAGACAAGTTCAAAAGACCTAGGAGCCAATAAATCCATAATTAAATGATGCTGCAGTTTAGTATTAGATAAATTACGAGCAAAGAACAGATTAAAATTAATAATAAAAAATGGTTCAAATGATAAACAACTATGTCTTAGAAAGTTAAGTTTTTGACTAAGATTATGCAGCTGATATAAATCGAAACCCTGAGTAAATTGGATTTGATGAAAGTTTTGATTAATACCATTAGTTAAACTAATCAAATAGACTGTAGCTTTTAGGAGATAAAAGAGAATAGAATAATCCTGAATACGATATTTCAAGACAATAAGGATACAGAAATAATAATTACAAAGACTAGACTATTAATCTTCAGAATATTTAAATTTAATCAGATTTTGAAAATAATAAGTTATGATTCGTTAAATTATCTGATTATTTTAAGTAGATTAAATTATTGATAACTAATCATCATCTGTTGATAGTTTAAACGGGGTTTTGGGGTTTTGGGGTTTTGGGG